CAGCAGGAAGTAGCTAAGAGAATACACCATCCCCTTTTCCTTATGAATCAGGGTGAAGTCTCTCTCAGGGAGGAGTGATAGGGAATGGCAAAGGACACACAGACAAAGGAGATTAATCAGAACTGGCTCTGACAAACACTATGGCAATTGGACAATTAAAACAGACATTCGGTGGGGAGGGGAAGAAGAACGAATTGGGGAGGAAGATAGAGAAAAAAGTGCAATAATGAATGAATGAAAACCCAAAATTTCTGTAAATGTTCATTAAAACTAATACAATTTAATAATAATTAAAACAAAACAAAAACCAATCAACCACACAAGATCAATAGGGCATTAATTGCCAATAAAAGACAAAAGTCAGAAGGCAGGAAGACTAAATGGAAAAGAGAATCACAGGAAGAGAGTGAGGAGAGTACTGTTAACACTATGAGGATTGCAGCTAGTGTCAGAGAAGAAATGTGTACGCGTTATACAGGGGAAATGCATTTGCCTTGTAAACTTTGACCCAAATCACAAATGCATGAATGAATTGTGTTGTTGTTGTTATGTGCCGTTGAGTCACCTGCGACTCATAGCGACCCTATGTACAACAGCCCTAAAGTCCGCTCTGCCCTGTGCCAATCGCACTGTCTCCGACACTCCCATCCCAATTATCCCAATCACTGAATCAATCCACCTCATAGAGGGCCTTCCTCTCCTGCGCTGTCCCTCCACCCTCCCAAGCATGATGTCCCTTTCCAAGGATCAACACACACACACACACACACACACACACACACACGTATATATATTTTGCTGCTATTTCTATTTTGTGTCCATGTATACACAAACATAGAAGTGTATATATACACACAGACAAACACACAAACACCTTGCCATTCAGTAGGAACCAGCTCATAGGTGACCCTCTAGTAGGTTTTTGAAGGCAGTAAATCACATAGGAGATTCCCCATCTTTCTCCCACAGAGCAGTGGGTAGAGTTTAACCTCTAGATTCACCATCTTTGAGTTAGCAACATCTTTCCCTACAGATGATAGCCTCAGAGCTCCCATATTACAAAAGCAAACAGTAATTTAGTTACTAAAGAATGCCTTTGTTCTTTGGGGACCTGAGTATATGAGATCACCTTGACAACAGCAGCTGGAAAGATTAGACAGAAACCATGGGAGAGGGACACATAGAAAAGGAGAGTGACTGCATATGTCTAAAGATGGACAAAGAGGGTAGGGATGAGCTTTTAGTAAAATGTGGCCTGGTGTGTGGAGAGAGGAGGAGGGAGCTGACTTGTAATAGAAGAGTGGCCTGGTGTATGTGATGAGGGGGAGGAAGCCTACTTGGAGTGGAAACCTGGCCTGGTGTATGGATAGAAAGGAGGAAGGAGTTGACTTGTAGTAGAAGCATGGCCTGGTGTGTTGAGTGAGGGGAGGGAGCTGACTTGTAGTGAAAACATAGCCTCTCGTGTGGTGACAGGGAGGGTGCTGACTTTAGTGGCAGTGTGACCTGGTGTGGAGTGAGGGGAGGGAGCTGACTTGGAGTGTTTGGGCCTGATAGAGCAGGGCTGATGACCCCCAACCCTGGAAGGGATCTGTGGTTGCCTAGAGAAGTTCTTGCATGCCGGCTTCCTGTAACCCTTTTCTGATACCTTCATTACCCATTCATCTGAGCATCCTGGCCCACCTCTGACCTTGGCTGGTTCTCTGCAGAGCTAGCAGCCCATGGAGACCTGGTGGAGAGTGCAGCATGGAGCCGAGATGGTGCCCTCCTGGCCACAGCTTGTAAGGTAAGTGGATGGGTGGTGACCCAGGGTTACCACTCAGTTACTGAGGAGGTTCTCCTGGGGTATCATGGTGAAATGGGACACAGCCTGTGGTGGAGCCCATGCCCTTAGAGAGCCTGCCCTGTGGTACTGTGGGGGACAGCATGTCAGGGCCTTTCCTGATCACTCTTCACCTGCCATCAAGAGTTGGGAGTGACTAGGTGGTGGCTCTATACTAGGGGCTGCAGGACTTCCCAAATTTAATAGTGAACACATAGTCCCTCTTTACCCACAGAGTGATTTTCAGTGAAGATCTAGTCCAGTCTCTCAGCTCCTGTAGAGTCCAGCTCCCAGGACACAGTGCAGTGTGACGTTCTGGAAAGGATCGGGGGGTATCCTGGGATACCGTGCTACGTGTGTTTTTCTTTTATGTTGGCTTACTTCCAAAGTTTGTATATATCATGTTTCACCCTATTCTTCATTCATTTGGTTTTTCATATAATCATTTCCAAACATTGTTTTATAACATAATCACCATTGGACCTTGCCCATCGTTACCCTGTCTTTTCACCCAGATGCTTCCCATTTCCATCACCCTCCCAGACACACTGTTCTTGCTGTACCTTCTCCAATGAGCCCCTCAAGGTGTGCTAGGATAGTCCACAACATGTGTCCATTTGTTGTTGTTGTTGTTGTTATGTGCCGTCGAGTCGCCTGCGACTCATAGCGACCCTATGTACAACAGCCCTAAACTCCGCTCTGTCCTGTGCCAATCGCACTGTCTCTGACACTCCCATCCCAATTATCCCAGTCATTTCCTCTCCTGCGCTGTCCCTCCACCCTCCCAAGCATGATGTCCCTCTCCAAGGACCGGTCTCTCCTCACAACATGTCCAAAGTATGTTAGACGGAGCCTCAGAATCCTTGCCTCCAAGGAGCCACCCGGTTTAACCCTCTCCAGGACAAATCTGTTTGTTTTCCTAGCAGTCCATGGTATTCTCAATACTCTTCTCCAGCACCACAGCTCAAAGGCATCAATTCTCCTTCTATCCTCCTTGGTCATTGTCCAACTCTCTGATGCATAACAAGTGATTGCGAAGACCATGGCCTGTATCAGACGCACCTTAGTCTCCAGAGAGACACCACTGCTCTTCAGCACTTTGGAGAGGTCCCTAACAGCAGATTTTCCCATGGCAATGCGCCTTTTAATTTCCTGGCTGCTGGTGCCAAGCAAACTAAAGCTGTGTACAATCTCAATCTCTTCACCATCCATCCTGATGCTGCCAATTGGTCCAGTGATGAGAATCTTTGTCTTCTTGACATTGAGCCTCAATCCATATTGTAGGCTGCAGTCCTTGACCCTCTGCAGCAGGTGCTTCAGGTCCTCCTCAGTTTCAGCAAGCAGGGTTGTGTCATCTGCATAACGCAGATTGTTGATAAATCGCCCACCAATCTTGACCCCACATTTCTCCTCATAGAGCCCAGCCTCCCGGATAATCTGCTCTGCATATAGGTTGAAAAGGTATGGAGATAGGATGCATCCCTGGCGTACGCCCTTCCCAGTTTTGAACCATGCAGTGTTCCCTTGCTCTGTTCTGACGACTGCCTCCTGGTCCAAGTATAAGTTTCGCATTAGAACGATCAAGTGTTCTGGGATTCCCATTTACTTACTGTAAAGGGGATTCCTGAGGTCTGTCCATGTTGGCCATTCTCACCCAGGAAGAGTCCTGGATCACAGCAGGGATGAAGTGAGGAGGGATCCTTAGCTCTTCAGAGAAGGACACCCTTCAACTCATGAGGGTCTCTTGCACATGAGCTAGGACCCCAGGTCCTAGGCACGCAGGACCAATCCTGCCTTTGCCAGTGGGACTTTGGACTCTAGGCTTCTGTGGGAAGCAGTGATTTGGGCTGCTTCCAGAGGAAAGGGGTATAGGATGCCCACACCAGAGCCACCCGTTCTTCTCCTCACCACGTAATCGACAAGGTCACCTTCTTTCAGGGGAACCTTCCAGATGCTCAGATCTGATTTTTTTTAATCTCTTTCTCTACCAAAGCATCAGTTAATCTGTTTCCTGGGACTCTGATGCAGCAAGTGGCCACTAGAGGGCACTGCAGCCTATTGCGTGGCTGGTGCACTCAGGTCCTTCCACAAAGTCCTACAGGGGGCTGCTGCCAGCTTTTGTCATGTCATCACCTGAAAAAGCCTGAGGAGGACCTTTTGGAGGAGGGTGGCACCAGAGACCCTGTCCTGGCCAGAGCCCTCTCTGACTGGACTTGAGACAGAGAAAGAGAGAGACAGACAGAGTCTCTCTCCCCCTCCCTCTCTCTCTTTCTCTCCCTCCCTCCCTCTCTCTCCTTCTCTTTCTTCCCTCCCCCCCTCCCTTCCTCTCTCCCTCTCCCCCTCCCTCTCTCTCCCTCCCCTCCCTCACTCTCCTTCCCTCTCTTTTCCTGTCTCTCTCCCTCTTTCTTTCTACCTTTTCTCCCCCTCCCTCTTCCTCCCTCCTCCCTTTCTTTTGCTCTCCCTCCCTCCCTCCCCCCCTCCCTCCCACCGTCCCTCTTCCTACCTTCCTCTCTCTCCTTTCCCTCTCTCTGTTTCTGCCTGCCTGTGTCTGCCTATATCTCTACCTCTGTTCTCTGTCTCTATCTTCTTTATTTTCTTTGTCTTGCTATCCTGTCCCTCTGTGTCCCTCTTTCTCTTTGTTTCTTTCTGTCTCTATCTCTCTTGTTTCTGTGCCACTTTCTATCTCTTCTCTCTGTCTTCCCCCCCCCCCAGCCCTTATATCTGTTTTCTCTCGTTTTCCTGTCTCTCTCTGTCTTTGGGTCTATCTGTCTTCATTCTTTGTCTGATTGCTATGGCTCTTTGTTCTCTGTATGCCTGTCTGTCCCTATCTTTCTGTCTGTCTGTGTCTCTTTCTCTCAGTTCCCTGTATCTCTGTTTTCTTTCTAGCCATCTCTTTCTGCCTCTCAGTTCCCTGTTTCTGAGTTTCATTGTATCTGTCCTTCTGTTCTCTATTTCTGCCTTTTCCATCTGTCTACCTCTTCATTTCCCATGTCTCTCTCTTCTCTATCTATACCTCTGATCACTCTGTGTCTCCAGAACCCCCTGCAGTGACACTTTGTGCAGAGCTAACTCAGTATTTTGCTTGGTATACACATGCACACAGCAAGTGTTTCACAAGCTGCAGCTTTAGGTTTACAGGAAAAATCACATGGACAGCACAGTAGATTCTCATTGTCCTGCCCTCCATCCTCACCTGGACATTTGCCATTCTGACTGGCTATGGTGTATGCATGTAGAATTCAGTGGCAGTAATTAGGTTCCATGCTTTAATCCCCACCACTCTCTGTTTCTAGATTTCTTTTTTTGTTTGTTTCTAGATTTCTTTACTCACCTTTGGTCAATACTCACTGAGTGTTCCCTTTAGGTAGTACTTGCCTGCTTCTCTGAAGACCTTCTGATGATGTGTTACTATTAACCAAAACACCTAGTTCACATTAAGAAGCTCTAGTGGCATAGTGCATCACACTGCCAAACAAAAGGTCAGCAGTTCAAATCCACTGGCTATTCTGAGGGAGAAGGTTGGATAGTCTCCTTCAAAAAAAAAAAAAAGAATTTTTTCGTGACTTGGGTGATATTTTACAGAGCACATTAGCTGCTCAGTTTTGTATTGTGATATTGGTTGCAGTCCCTACTATGGAGCAGCACTCTTCCCACTCTCTCCTTGGGTTTCTCATTTCCACCCATCTAGCTTTCCTTCCCCTTCTAACTGTACCTTGCTCTTGGGCACACACCACCCTCCTCATCTAGCATAGTCCTCATGAATGTTGTTGCCCATGCTCTAGGCCTCTCTTGTCTGGCTGAAATGTGATCTCTAGGAGAGTCTTGATTCCACATTTGAAGGGTGTCTAAGGGCCACAGCCCCAAGGTTTCTCGCCGTCTCTATCAGATCTGTAAATATGGTGTTTAATTTCATATATTGTTCTGTTTTCCTTCCCTCTCTGCCTGGGCACTGTACTGTCCATCTTTTTGGAGTATTTGGTAGTGGCCGTAGGCCCCATCTCTCTGCTGGTCCTTGGGTCATGGAGGCTGTGCTGCTTCTGGCCTGTTGGTCCTATAGACCAGTTGTCCACATTCTGGCCACCTCTGGCTTTGTAGATGTCACGTGGCCAAAATCCGACAGTGTAGCTTAGCTTTTCAGATGCGTTTCTTCACTTGTACCTCACTTAAGGAGCCCTTCAAGTTTCTCCATGGATTTTCATGGCTTGTCTGAGAGGATAGCTGGCTTCTTATTGCTGATTATGGATGAACTATACATCATTCACCTGTTCACCGAGTGAAAGCCATCTTGGTGTTTGTTGTTGTTATATCTCAGTCTCCTTTGAGCTATAAGATTAAAATAGGAAGGAATAGAAACGGAAGTGGGGAAGAGAGATGCTGAGTCCCTCAGGGTGATAAGGCCAGACCTTCCCCTAGAGCTGACAGAGAAAATGCCTGTCTCCAGAGCCAATGTCCTTTATTTGAAGTTCTAACCTCCTAAACTTTTAGGGAAGAAATTTGTTTTTCTAAGCCACCCACTTGTGGCATTTCTGTTATAGTGACTCTAAATAACTAGAAGAAGCCACTATAAACATCTTGATGCAGGTCACTGCCTAGACTTAAGTTTCCAATCCAGAAGAATGCAAGCATGACTCATTGTATTGAATTTTGCAGATATTTAATTTTCTTGCAGATTGAAGCTTTGTGCTCACATTGTGTAGACCAAGTGTGTGGGCACAGCTCCTGTCCCTGGGCCATGTTTGGCCATTCTCACAGTATTTCACACTTTTCTGAATGGTGCTGCACGTTTACTTGGAGATGGTGCAGAGCAGACGTTCCTTCTGTATATGTGAAGAAACCAGACAATGCACGTGGTCTGACTTAATGTGGTGCATGTGAGGAACTGCAGCATCCCCAAGTTCTGCCTGGACCTTATGCCACAAGAACAACCCGGCTATGTTCTGGAGTGGCTAAACCATTTTACATCC